AGTCCGTGCAATTATGACCGATGAAGTTTCTGGAGCTTGAATTCCCCTGGAAGGAGATGTATAAGTGACGAGCAAACAATTAAATATGATGGAAATTAGATAGTGTATTAGGTACTACACACAAAATAAATGGGACGATATGACAAAGAAGATCTGAAGGTTGGGAGGTGGTATTTTTTTTTTTTTTTTTACCAGTCAGACTATTTCCTCCTCTTCTTACTCCCCCAGGGGAGAAGAACGATCATCAGCGGCTATGGGCAGCTGCAGAAACAACATCTAGGGCCAGTTTCATGCTCAGAAGAGAGAACCGCGCCATGGAGATGCTAATTTTTATGGGGTTCGGGGAAGGCTTCTGTTATTAGGTGAACTTTGATCTGACACGTGGACATGCAGAGAACACTGGAGAAGTCCAGGCAAAGAGCAGATCTGAAGGCCCTATAGCACAAACCACAGCAACACTGTGGTTTGTTTAATGAACTGGAGCAGAGGTTAGTGGGACTGCAGGGCGGTGCGCTCTGAGAAGAATGGTACAGGTGGGAAGTGACCAACGCAGGAGCCCCATTGTGGCTCACAGGCAGAACAAGAAGTTTTGCTTTTATTCTAAGAGCAATGGGAAGCTGTTGAAGCTGTTAGGTTTACACTTAATAATGTTGGGCTCCTATTTGGTGAATGGTGTGTGTGTGTGTGTGTGTGAATGTGGGCTGCAGAGAGAGTGCCAGCAGTGGAAGTGAGGAGATCAGGCGGGAGGCTGTTGACCAGCAATAATCCAGGCAAGAAACGACCATGACCCAAACCACATGGTAGTCATGGAGAAGGAGGAAGTAGGCAAGTGCAAGATACAGCTGGAAGTGAATTTGACAATCGCTAGAGAGAAGGGTGAGGGTGGGAAGAGAGCAGTGAGGTCTCTGAAGTTAGGTGCCATTTAATGGAGTGGGGGGTTCAGTTCTATTTTGAATGTTAGGCTACAGGTGGTGTGGGACATCTACTTGAGGAGGTCGAGTAGACAGATGGGAACAAGGTGTTTGGCGCCCAGGGGAGAGGGCTTAGCTAGAGGTACACATCTGGGAGTCAATAGCCACAGTTCCCGCCAGACCACCTAAGCACACATTCGGCAATTAACGAATTGCTTGCAAAATGACTGACTGATAATTGTCGGAAAGGGCAAGAGAGATTTTGCATACTGCAAGATGCTTTCAATCTCTTGGCAAGGAGCACTCAGGAAATGCTAGTAGAGTGCCAGGTGCTGTGGCTGCCTGATAAATATTAATTTACAGCAGCAATGAATCTCAAGAAAGCAATGAACTGCCATTTCACTAACTGACCATGCCTGGCTTAATTGGCGCCAGAGCTGTTGTTCAGCTGCTTGTACCCTCTGTTCCTCATCCTCTACATCGTTTTCCTGGTGGTTTAATCCCTGATCCAGGCATCTTGCTTTGTTCTTGATCATTGTCTTTTTGGCTCTAGCTTTCAGAGAACACTGTCATTGCTCTGACTCGGTCGCTAATGAGCATCTCAGAGCCTCCTCTGCGCAGGTTTCTGAATCTGCCTTGAATCATGAACACTGAGTACCTATTATGTGCCAAGCACTATTCTACACACTTGACACATATATGGCATTATAGCACCCATCAAGTAGATACTGGCCCGTGGAGTAGAGGAGACCTTCATCTCCCTGAGAAAGTAAGTGCTTGGCTCTAAGGTAGGTAGTTAGAAAGTGGTAGAGCATGAATTCAAAACAGGTCCAGCTGACTCTGTAGCTGGGCTCCCCTGCCTGGGTTCACAAAGCTCATTGGATTTGGCCTGCTGAATCAGGCTGTCCCCTCCACCCAGCTAGTTCCCCAGCAAAGTCTATTAGGTGGTTGGTATCTATTCACAGCTAGCAAGCATTCAAGTCATGTTGGCCTGTGTCTTTACCTTTGAACAACAGTGTTCCATATCTCCGTAACTACACTCACTTGGTGTCCTCTTGTGAGCCCTTATCACCTTCAATGGGAAGATCCTAACCTGATAGGGGCCCCTAGCCTGGGAGGTTATTAGTCGTCAGAGAAACAAAAGAGATGGAGTATGTCGGAGTAACGCAGCTAGGCAGGCTTGCCAGGGACAGGGTGGCTGGAAGCAGAGAGACTGAAGATTAAGAAAGAGGGCAGCAGGATTGTGGGCAGAAGAAAGGCATGGACTCTTAAAACCTGGCTAAGGGATGAGATGGCAAAGACAAAAAAAAAATCATTAACTCATTGTTCAAAAGAAATAGCCTGTGTGGCGTTATGTAAATGTGTTAATAAAGCTTCAGTCTCTCTGGCCACATACTCAAACCGAAGGTTTTCCGACTTCATTAGGCTCGCCCCCTGAGCATGCAGGTGCGCCACAAGGCAAAGAGACATTTGCTCAAACATCGCCTGTAGCAGAAGCAATGGTTTCACGGTGTCCAAGAGGAGGCCGTGCCTTCGCTTGAAGAAGGCCAAGTCCTGGGAGGCCAAGCAACTCGGGCAGGAATGCCTTGCAGTTAATGTGGCACTGGAGGACAAAGGGAGCTGAAGCTGCTCCTGCTGGCACGCATCTAAGCAGCACGTGTTCCGCCAACACGCGCCACCCTTTATCACCTGACACGTGCCCGGCTGGCTGGGCCCCATGCTGCCTGCTGAGCAAATGGAGCTGGTGAATATCCATTTTGGGTGAGGTTTCATAGTAGAGATGGGATGTGGAATTTCTAGAGGCAAGCAACCTACGAGTCCAGCATCAACCGGATCCCTTATTCATGAATCAAACGGATAATGGTCAAAGGTGAAAAGTTGGTTAAAAAGACAGACAGGAGGGGAAACAAAGCTACACGTGCACTATGTTCTTTAGTTATAGCAGATGGTGGTGGCTTGTGGCACACAGCTCTGCTTTGCTAAGATGTCTGTGGCATTGTCTTCCAATGCAAGGGCAACAGTAGAGAGATCTGTGGTCCCTTCAGATCCCCTTGGATGTCTGAAGAGTTTCAGCTGAACCCTACAAGAGCTTCTGTGAAGCTAATCTGCATCTACCCGTCTCTACTGCCAACATTCCACCTGGCTTAAAGGACAACTGACATGGTTCCAAAGATTTTAAGAAGCGAAGAAGTGCTCTCTCTCCCTCTCTCCCACATACACATACATATGCATGTGTGTGCACACACGCAGAGGTAAAATAGTAGATCTATCTTTAATTACATACATCATGATTTTGTTCTCTTTTGATATGACACTCAAAGTATCAATGGCCCAGTTCTTTGCTATATTCCTAACACCTAGACCAAAGTCAGAACACAGTAGGCTCTCCATATATACTTGTTGAATAAATGAACAAATAACTATTTACTGTCCCCTTGGGTTTTAAATTCTGGTGCCCAACTTTGCCTGTTGACTTTTTATTAATAGCCCTAGGAAAATCCTTAGTGGTGTTCTAATTTTACAAAACATTCTTTTCCCAGAGACATTTGAATTCCTCTAGTTCCCTGCATGGGCTCCATTTTTTTCTCCTGGAGAAGCATTAGATGTAAAATAGGATTAAAGACAATTTTTTAAAAGATTTATTTAAGAGAGAGAGAACATGGGCACGTGCGGGGCAGCAGGGGTTGGGGGGCGGGGCAGGCAGAGGGAAAAAATCTCAAGCAGACTCTGAGCTGAGCACAGAGCCCGATTCAGGGCTCGATCTCACGACCCTGAGATCATGACTTGAGCTGAAACAGAGTCAGATGCTTAACTGACTGAGCCACCCAGATGCCCCAGGATTAAAGGAATTTTTAACAATTTATTTCTTACTTATCCCCTCAAACACTCTATTCCAAGCATCTTGTTAAATATTTTGTATTTATCCTATTCTTTCCTAATTTAGATATTGTTGAATAACCAACGGGCAAAAGTCATCAGGGTTGGTGGCAGGACAAGATCAGACTACCAGATAAGGAGTGGACCTCATCCTGGATTTTTCCTTAAGGATCAGATAGTTTCTCTTCTCAAGCCATATTCCTGGGATAGGAATGTTTACTCTGTGTCAATATTCAGATTACTTGATGAATTTCAGTGTCCTTCAACAGAAATAAAATTTCCTGTAGAAACATTTATTACACAGTGATAAGTCGCCTCTGGGTGTGGGGGTGTATGTACCTAAGCCTTTGAGGAGACAGGTTCAAAACCAGATCCAGTCAAGTCCCGTAGCCAGAAAGTACGGAAATTCAAGGATGAATCTCAAGAGTATTGGAGTTGGAGCCTTTTCCTCCTGATAAGGCAGATGTGACACTTTAAAAGGCATCTGCTACTCTATATTTAATCTAAGTCATTATATCAAAAATAAGCAAGGACCCATGGACCTTTGTGTGAGGGATATTAGTTTGACTATTACAGAAACTGATCAGTATAAAAATAGAAAATAGAACCTTAGTCCTGCCTTTCAGTCTTGCCGGCATCCCAGATGATAAGAGAACTGATTAGTGAGGGATGACTGGGGAAAGTTCTCTGGGCTGGTAAGCATTTTTATGAGTCGATATATTTTTAAGCTTATCTCCAAGAAATAAAAAAACAGTCACTTTTCTTGTAAGGCTTTTTTTTTAATGTCAAGTAAATGTGACAGAGCATAAAGGTTTGTTAAATAGGAGTGTTGAGAGTACCCAGATGTTTATTATTCTCTGTGTTTTCTCTGTTGGAAGCATTCCATAAGAAAAGAATGATAACAGAATCAAAACAGCAAAAACAAGGAAAACAACCAAAATACATGTTTTGGGGGGGGTTACAAAAGGAAGCTTAATTTGCCTCCACGATGGTTAAAAACATGAGACCTCTGATTTCAAGTGAGTTTGTGAATATTTTTAAAAATAACACCTGATTTCATAATATAGATTGTTCAGGTATTAAACTTGGTGACACTCTAACAAATGTTAATACCAGTCAACTCCCAGGAAACCCGAAAGCCTTCTGATATCAACATAGCACTGACAATTCATCATATTTAACAAGGTGTGTCAGAAATAGCTGAGTACTGACCTCCCCAGGACAAATGATCCTCTTGGGACGAGGGGCCTCTTGCTGTAACTGATATACTGCCAAAAAAAAAAAAAGAAAAAGATAATTATGATTAGAAAACTACAACACACACCAAAATGTCTTCAAATAGTCCCACCTAAGTGCCTCTGAAGAACTGCAAATATTGCAAACAAAAAAACAAAGAGGATACAGGCACATCTTTAGACTGAATAAAGTCAGCTTATTTATATGGAAATTAGTTACCATGCATGTAAACTGGCAAAATTGATTTTTTTATTCTTTTACAAGGCCAATTTAGTTTCATAATTGTTACTGGCATTGTTCATTTTATGGCTTTCTTGGAAGGTAGGAGTAAAATTCTTCTGACTATTTTGGAATTCTACCTGTGAGTACCAAAGCAGTAAGATCATATAAGAGGATTCCTGAATTGAAATGCTGATGTCTCCTGACATATCAGGAAAAGACTGGCATTAGCAGAGTAGTGTTATTCTCTGAAACCTTACAGTTATGTACCAAGACACCACTGATTTTGTGAGTGAGTGAAACCCCAAACCCTTTCTCTTTTCATGAGTTCCTTTTTTTGGCCTGCCTATCACCATGCATTCTCATCTATGTGACTGGTTCCCTGGCATTCCTCTTTCTTGGGCCCTTTCATATCTTAAGAAATAATAACTCTCTTATATCCTGCTTTAAAAAAATTTTTTTTAAAGATTTTATTTATGTATTTGACACAGAGAGAGGGCACAAGCAGGGGGAGCAGCAGAGAGGGAGGAAGAGGCAAGCTCCCCACTGAGCAGGGAGCCCGATGTGGGGCTCAATGTGGGGCTCGATCCCAGGACCCTGCGATCATGATGCAAGCCGAAGGCAGACGCCCAACCAACTGAGCCACCCAGGCGCCCCTTATATCCTGCTTTAAAGATAGACTTTTAGGCCTGGACACGGAGGTAATTATATATAAAAATAAAATTTATCAGCCTATTATCTGGGATTTTTCGGACTAAAATGAGTGATCTTCTGCTGCTCAGTTAGTCTGGATACTTCCCTTAGAGGTAAGCCACCTTATGCTGGTACCTGTGAGCTCTACCTCTTTGAAAACCAAGCAGATGTTATCTTCAACATCTTGAAGAAGGAAGAATTCACTTTAGATGGTATAAATCTATGAAAAGTTAAAATTCAATCATATAAAATATTTCTAGAAAAACTAATAAGATAAGCAAAAATTTCTGATTTATTTTAGGCCTAAAAATTAAAAAAAAGAAATTTTAACTGAAATGCAGATGGTCATGTGGAAATAGGGCTGGAAATGATGGGATGTATTTTGTAATTATGGCTTCTCAATGCCTTTAGCTCAACATGGTTATTTTCTTACCTAATTAAGTGTAGACTGCCCAGCTTTCACACAGAGGAAACCATCTAACCCTCTTGTAGATGTTTTAATGTGCCACATTTCTAAGCTGGGTTGCCCACACTAATGACAATGCCTGTGTCACTTAAGGACAACTATACCCATGTGTGGCAGGTAGAGCCAGAGAAGGCTTCTTTTCAAAGAGGAAACATGAGGAAGAATTGGCCAAAGATAGAGAAATAATTGTGGACATTCCATTGACCATCCCAGTAGTGCCCATGTTCTCCTTTTAAATCAGGAGAGAGGCTGCATGGAATCCTTTCTACCTCTCGGATCAGCCCCAACACCTACTGACTGCTTTTCTTTTTTAAGATTTTATTTATTTATTTGACACACAGAGAGAGAGATCACAAGTAGGCAGACAGGCAGGCACAGGGAGAGGGAGAAGCAGGCTCCCCGCTAAGCAAGAAGCCTGATGCCGAACTCGATCTTAGGATCCTGGGATCATGACCTGAGCCGAAGGCAGACGTTTAACCGACTGAACCACCAGGCACCCCCTAACTGCTTTTCAGTAGTGTTGCTATTAATGACTGCCATGAGACCCAAAAGGACCAGCTCCTAAAATCACAGAGTGTTCCAGCCAAGGGGAATTGCAGAACCCACATCCAGAGACTCCTGCCCACTCTTCTCTTCTCATCGCCAATGCCTCTTGAAGCCAACAGTTATATGTGGGGGTAGGCTGGACACCATTTTTAATGCCTCCCTTGGAGGTGACAAAGGAAGTACACATGTTATAAGACAGAAGCATTTTTTGCTAAGTGTGTCTTTGCGATTCATATCAGCATATATTTGACCATCTGCTACAGACCATCTACCACAGTCAGCATTATGTGGAGGCTTTTATGAAGAATAAAGAGAAAGGGAGAAGGGAAGGGAACCAGTGTATTGAGTGCCTGTCATGTGCCAGGAACACTATTTTATTGGATCTTCAGGAGAACACAGAAAAAAAATTGTTGTATCATTATCATTCTTATTTTTTAGATGAGGAAACTAGTGCAGGAAAGTTAAATATTTGCCCTGGGACACCCAGGTATCCTTTTGAGTCCATAGCCCTCCTTATTTTTCTATGCCTCAGGGCCTTTGCACTTGCCATTCCCTCCACCTGGATTGCTCTTTCCCAAGATATCCATATGGCTCCCTCTCTCCCTTCATTCAGGTCTTCCCTGACTTGACTGATTTGGTATAAAATTACATCCCATCACTCTGCTCCCTTACACTGTCTTATGTTTCTTCATGGTACTTATTAACTATTAACACATTTTGTTTGTTTATTTTGTGTTCGGTCTCCCTTGACCAAAGTGTAAACTCTTTGAGGACAGGGACTTTGTTCTGTCCACTGTGGTACCCTCAGCACCTAGAACAGTGCTTGGCACATGGTAGATGCTTGGTGCTGTATCTGGTGAACAAATGGACTGTATCCAATGACTCATGGGTCACAACCCATGTCTTCAAGGAGACTCTGATCCAATGAAAGAGACTTGTGTGGAGAAACAAAACCAGGGTGGACCAAATGCTATAATGAGGGGGGAGAGGAGAAAGTGGTTCTTTTTACTCAGGTGGCCAGATGGCTTCCCAAGGGGAGAAGCATGCAGCTCTTCTTGAAGGATTAGAGGGGTTTCTGCACATAGAGAAGAGAAGGGGCAGTTCCAGGTGAAGAAAGAGCCCCAAAAGGGAAAGGTGATGGCATGTTTATTGATCAGTAAGAGTCCAGCATGACTGTTCCACCAGGATGGGCAGATGTAGGAGGAGGTCACATAAAGCTAAATCTTAAAGGTCATGCCAAGGAGCATGGATGTTCTTCTGTCTGCAGGAGGAAGGCAGTGACATTTTTTGAGCAGGGAGATGACATGATTTGGTCTGTTTCAGAATAGTAATAAGGATAAAATTATTCAGAATAATAGAAGCTGCCATAATGTGGACACCTACTATGTGTCAGACACCTTACCTACATCTTCTCATTTAATCTTTCCAACAAACTTCCAGGGTAAATATTATTCTGCCCTTACTAATAAAGTAGTAGAGATGCCAAGCTTTGAAGAAACTCAAGGTCACACAGATAATATGATGAAATCGAGATTTAAAGCCTGATTTCCAGATTCCAAGGTCTGTATTTTTCAGCCTTGCCAGTGGTTCCCTAAAGCAGGCAGTAGAGAGGTCCTGTGTGGGACTGGGGCTGCTCGCTGGCAACACTCACTCTTTCCACTCTGGTGGAAAGCCCCCAAATTTGCTTTTTTTTTTTAAAAGCTCTTTGGAGATTCTAATGTTCAGCAGTCAGGAGTGGGGCCACTTCCCTTTGCCTCACTGAAGGAAGGATTAGAGGAGGAGCCTTGGAGGCAGGGAATCAAGAGAGAACAGTCTTTCAGTTGTATATCAAGAGATCTTGAAAACGTGTGTTAAGGCAACACTGGTAGAAACACAGATAAGAAGGTCAGTTGATTGCAGAGGAGAACAGACAGGGCTTAATGATGGACTGAATGGAGGTAAGGACCTTGAAACAAGGAGAGACTGAGAGGCCATTAACAATCACAGAGGATACAGGTGAAGGAACATTCTGGACAGGCTAAAGTTCGTCACTGTGTCCTCTGAGGACTCTCTGAGGTTTAGTAAAGAGCAATGCCATTGTTCACTAGCCTCAGAAATAGTATGAGCCAGGGGCAACTTGGAGGGGGTCCCTGCAAACCTCTCAAGCCAGAGACACCAGGTCTCCTTCCTAGTCCCTGGGCAGCACGCATCATCGACCAATTGCCGTTTCTCAGTGAGCAGGGCTCAGGAACCGATCTGTTCGGTGCCGCTCTAAGCAACAGAAGTTGGCAAATAGGAACAGAAGCCTGTTGACCATCTGGATTATGTGTCTCTATAAAGATAATGAGATGGCAACCAATTGCAATGGTAGCCATATAAAAAATGGGCCCTACATCCTATCTTAGCTTCGAGTGAGAGTCTTAGTCCCTCATTTTCAAGGTTAGCTATAACAAAACCACCATCTGTGAAAAAAAAAAAAAAACCCTGAGGCACATTTAATACAAACTGGAACATGTCACATCATCTGAAAGTGTCACTTCTTGAATTTTTTTTTTGTTCAAACATTTCACAAGCAAAATGCAATAACGTATGTCACTTTTTGGGTGGTTCTCTGGGCTAAGAGGTGATATGATGGAATTTGCTGCTGTAGCAATGTTCCAAGTATGTTCGAGGCACTCCCCAGCCCTGGGCACTCTATAGCACACGATTAATTCTTAACACTGGAATGAGCTGTTTGGCAGGGGGAGTGGTCACTGGGGAATGTGGAGGTGGAGGAGTCCTTGCTCCCCAAGCAACCTGAAGCACATTGAGAAATCCAGAGCTCACTGAAAGAATGTTTTATTTTGTCTTCAATAAGAAAACTGGATGCACTCTCCTCTAACAATAATCACCCCACTTCCTATGGATGCCAAGCAAAAGCCCGTGGCCTGGGTGACGCTGAAGCCCAGTCCACACCCATCAGTTCCTGAAAGACCCTTTGGGAATGGCCGCTCACAGCCACTCTTTCTAAAGAGGGCATGCTGACCCAGGAGCTCAACCCAGCCATTTGGTTGTGACACTGAGCTAGTACCACCCGGCTCACGGCCCATGTCTTCCCAGTCTTCATGCGAAAAACTCTTGGATGTGAGTGAGAAACAGTATGTGCTTTGGAGGTCTTCTTGCCTTAACCCCACGGCCCACCTCCTCACTAACAGAATTTCCAGTCTTAATGGGGACTGCGTTCTCCTCTTGTGCTTCAGGTACTGTGAAAAACCCGAGGATGAGGCCGTGTAGCCTCATGATGAGGGGTCTCAGGTGTCAGCGTGCAGAAGAAAAACCTATAGGGTGTGGTAAATTGCAGATCCCCCCACTCTTCTGATTCAGAAATCTGGGGGTAGGGCTGAGGATTTGTTATTATAAATATTCCCCCCAGGTGATTCTGATTCAGGGAGATCAGTGGAACAGGGTTTTGAAGTTCTAAACTCCTCTTTAGGAAAACAGGCACAAGCTGTGACTGCTTGACCTACTGCCTGGGAGGGTCTCCCGGGAGAGCTGTCGGTCCCAACCTCTGCTGTCTAATTGGCACTTGCCCCTTAGAAAATAAAACCTTTCAGAGTATGCCCAGGGTGGCTGACTTGTGAACTTCTCTGCTTAGGGCATACAGTTCATACAGTTCTGGTTTAAGTTTAGAATGTGGCTTTATTTTTTTTTTTTTTCAAGTCAACTTGAAGATAGCTTTTCTTTTAGAAAACTGAAACCAAAACTTTCTCAATGACTTCATCAATGTTTTGGGGTTCGATCTTGAATATTAAGGACTAGCTGCAGATATATGATACTTTGGGACAAGATTATTCTTATGGAAACAGCCCAGTAAGTGATGGCATTATGTTCTAAGAAAGGGAGGGTAGCAGAGAATGCAGGGAGTTAAAGGACATCATGTGACATCATCACGCTCGGAGTCAAGACCCAGGCTTATCCATCTCTTTGCCTCACAACTCTAAACACAATGTTTGGCTTAAGGCAAAGACTTACTATGTATTTGCTGAATGAGTGGTGAATGAATGAATGAACAATCTACTTTAAATAAGATATGGAGAGAGCTGATTTTTAAGGTTTCTATTCCTCTACATTTCTAAGCCAGACATTTGTGGTTGCCTTCCCAACATCCATTTCCATCTTCCCCATTCCAACAGCACTCAAAATTTTCCAGTTCTGTGGATCATATAGGGTTGGTCCCTGACTGGTTCAGGGCAGCAGCATATTCCAACTCTTTGACCACAGTGTTGGGAGTTAGGAATGGGTAGCGCAGGTCAGTCAGCACTGAGACTCAGTTCTAAGACTTTGCTTAAAGTGTCAGGAAAGTAAACTGTAGATATTTGCAACCAAGAGCATTGCAATTAGCATTAAACCTGAGAAACCACTTTTTAAAGTGGATTATCATCAAGTAGACTAATTTTCTTTTAGGAATAATGTCATAATTGGGGCTCATGCCTCACGATAAGAATCTGGTATCAAATAAGTCAAAGTTATGTCCAATAATAGGCCATAAAAGCTAAGACATACCTATACACTTCTATAACAATTAAAAATCATAATTTTTAGAATCAAGTCCTGTAATATAGTAAAAATATACTGCCTCCCGTAAATATATGAGAGATTTCAAGGTACCAAATAATCACTAGAGTTTAAAAAAAAAAGTGTGTGATGGAAAAATGTGGATTCCATAAATGATATGCTAATGATTTTGACATCAATATCTAAAATTATCTCTCAAAGGATAGTTTGTGAACATTTCAAAGACAAGAGCTTGGTGAGTCCTGAGATTCAAAATGGGTTTAACAACAGGTTATTTCAAATAAAGCAAATTTCACACTCTGAAATTTTTTGGACTTTCAGATCAGGAAAATGCTACAGTTTTAGTTTATTTGGATTCTAAAAAGTGTCTCGTGAAGCTCTGCAAGGCCCTCAGATTCCTTCTCCTATTCATCCTTTAAGAACCATATACAAATTTAACCTCTTCTATAAAGTCTTCTCTAATCCCAGGAGGTGGAGGAGTACCATACTATTACTAAAGCCATTTGCATTTTAAGTTAATTGGTTTATATCTGTCTCCCTTACAAGACTATAAACTGGAGAAAAGTATGGATCACAAGTTAGTCATTTTCGATTCCTGATATTTGTGCTCTAACATGCAGGGAGTATTCCCTGTATGTTTGCTCAAAGACCAAATGAATGGATGATAGTCTTGGGAATAAGATAGAGTATCATGAGCTTGGGAATAATATGGCCAGGTGAGCTTATAAGAGGCCCAACACCCAAACTCAAATAATTTATGGATCCAGGACAGCAAAAAGAGAGTTCTTTCTCAGTGATGCTCTGTATACCTTTAGGAAATGTGGTTTTGATGCCGTAAATGGCACATTTGGTGGCATACTCCCCTCAGTTTTGGAGTTATGCATCACTAGACGTCCTCAAATACAGCCAGGATGATTATTAGCTGGATGCAATAAAGAGCAATTTCATAAATGCCATTAAGTTTGTATTAAATGGCCTCAGCTATCCCTTCTGTGTCTAAAGTTGTATGATTTTAGAGCAAATTAAAAAAAACACACAACTTGGTTAGACCCCGCAAATCAAACTTAAAACCCATACACGAGGGTGAAACTGATATTGTAAACATGTAATTAGCAATGTGTTTTCTCCCTTCCTTAGGACACAGAAGCCCTTTTAAGAGATATATTGGGTGGCCCAAGGCCTCTTAGCAAAAGGCGAAATGAAATTGAGCCAATGCCATCTTTTTGCTTCAATAGAGCTCTCTGCGGTGGCATTCACTCAGCAAATATTTATTGGCTACTTAATGTATGCAAGGCTGTGTGCAAAGCGGTGTGCAAAGCACAGTAAGTCATGGAACACCCCGAGCCTCTCACTACAGATATTTTGTTGATTTACTGTCAGAGCTCTTCACACCCTATTAGGAAACAAACAAACAAAACCATCCAATTACTAAGTCATTAGCACTGCCTTTTAAAATAGAAGATCAGAATGCAGAACATTAGATTGGAAGGGCCCTCAGAGACCCAGCACAACCCCTGTATTTCACAGATGGAAGAACAGACTCATGTAATAAGATTGAGGTGCCTCTATATATGCTGACATGGAAATATAAAAGCAAGTATTTGTGAAGTGAAACAAGCAAGTTGAAGGACACCAACTACAGCAGAAACCCACTTTTTCCAAAAGGGAACAACCACAAAAAATGCCTTCACATTAGGCATGTGTATTTTGAACACTTGGAAGTATATGCCTTCCAAAATTGACAGAGGTCAGCTACCGGGAAGCAGGAAAGAGATGTGGAATCTGGGGTGGGGGCTGGTTTGTCAATCATGAAACATTTCACTCTCAGCTTTATGCATTTTGTAATGTTTGTCTTGTATGCCGCTTTGTATCGCTTTTGTAACAGATATATACACAAGAGAGCCTATGTATATATGTGTGTGTGTTTGTGTGAATGTATATATTTATGTATAAAATCTTAAGTGGAGGGGCACCTGGGTGGCTCAGTCGGTTAAGCGTTCGACTCTTGGTTTCAGCTCAGGTCGTGATCTCACAGGTCGTGGGACCGAGCCCCGTATAGGGCTCTATGCTAGTGGGGAGTCTGTTTGGGGATTCTCTCCCTCTGCCCCTCCCCCCACTCGCACTGGCCCTCCCTCTCTCTCTCTCTCAAATAAATAAATAAGTCTTTAAAAAAATTTAAGTGGAAGGAAAACCGTCTTGAAAACTTGCAGGCTGTGGGTCAGGCTTGCTTCTGGGTTCCACTCTGCACGCCAGTCCAATGCACTCAGAGGTGCAGACCATATGTCAAGTTACTGACCCTCCCTGAGCTGTGGTGGCCTTGCATGTGGCCGCCGTTGCTTAGTGCTGTGGGGAGCATGTGAGAGCTCAGGCACACAGCTGGCACAGCGGCTGGCCCAGGGCAGGTCTCACAGGTGGGAGAAACAATGGTTAACATCGATAACGATGGCCCTAATTATTCTTATCACTGCTGTCCAGACTCAGAGCCTGAACAAGAACATGTGTCCCCTGGCTGTCAGCACAGCGGGTTTCCCACCTACCACACTCCTTCCCTCTCTTGCTGGAGAACGACTTAGGCAGATGATACTAAGGAAAGAGAAAACGAGCTTGATGTGATGACAACTGTCTGCCTTCATGAAGGGAGTTGAACTGCTGACTGATGACCAGGTATGATCTGTATCTAAGGAGTCACCCGTAGTGACCAAACATTATTCTTTGCTATCTGTTAATATTTTCTGTGGTCAATGTCATATGATATCACAACTATAGGATGATCGGCTAAGAATGTAATTCATGGAAATTCGCCCTTGCTGAACAACTCTGCAAAAAAAGAAAAGGAAAACCCCAAACCAAAAGGCAGTAAGTCAGAATGTCTATCTCCTTTTTCTAAGCATTCCTGAAGTGGGTCACAGGCAGCCTGCTCTTGGGGGTCCTGGCTAGGGGAGAATGCTGTGCAGTCCATTCTGACTAAAATCTCTCCTTAGTCGAAAAAGAAAGATTTGGGTTTGCAGTGCCGTGATGTGGGATTGCTTGTGTGCATTAAATCAACGGCCAGAATTGTTCAAAAGGCAGGCCTACTGAAGACTTCTGAGGAGATTCTCATTTCAAATACTCACAGTACGATTTCCATATTGGAGGCTGGTATTCTTCAGCATCTAGAGTAAAAAAGAAAAGAAATCAATCTGTCGGGCTGAACGTCAAACTGTCAACATGTGTCTTCTTTGGAGGAACAACAGTCTGTCAGCAGTACTTGCATTCTGGTCCCAGGGGGCCCTCTCTGCTCACTTATGGGACAGTTCCAGTCACAAGGGAGGAAATGCGCATGGCAACCCTCGAGAACCCAACACCACTCTCTCTTCAGATCACTTACCATGACAGAAATCAATTGCTTAACCATTTTCATAGAGCCCAGTAAATCAAAAAAGATTTTTAAAGCAATTAACTTGATTGTACCCTCCAGTAATCTTTTCAAACAGTATTTACTTCACTTGGCATAATAAACATATAATTTATCTCACAGTTTCCCATCAGACCTTTAGCCCATTTATTAAGACTTGAGGGCAAGACGTAAAATGGCAAGTATGTAATATTAAATCTGGGAAGTTGTGCAACTCAACCAACTGAACTCCTAAAATGACTGGGTCTGACAGCAGAGACACTGATGATTCAATTGGAATCGCATTATCTCCTTGAATTTACTCCAGTGTGTGACTTAGGAAATTTCTAGAACACTTCTCAGCAATCAGAAGTGTCAGAGTGAAAGAGTTACAACAAAATGGAGAGGATGAAATTGTTATTCATCAACCTAGAAAACAGACAATGGGAGAAAACCTGCTTGTTCAGTCGATTCAACAATCCCAGTGCTGACAGCTGAATTTATAATTCTGACGGAGTTATTAGAGCCGTCCTGAGCTTATAGCCTAAGGCCTTGCTAAAAAGTACTGCAGCTTAAACAGCCAGAGGGGAGAATCCTTTCCCTCAAATCACAGACCACTGAGCTGGGGGGAACCTTAAGAGTTCTCTAATTCAGCACCTTTATATGCGGGAACTGTTTTCGTCACCCTGCACCCCCCAAAGGCATCAGACTGCCCGTGTCCTGATGTTACTGTCACATACTACTTTTGTGCCAAGGACTAGATCTTCTCTGACCTCTTGCACTGAGATAGTTCAAGAATTATTCCCTATGCTATTTGTATAAAAACTCACACAACAGTGGTGAACTTCCCCAAATCCTACTTAATTACAGTTGTGTAGCTTAAATTAAATTCTTTCACAATTAATGTCTTGCTCTCTGGGGCCCACCCGATCACAGAGGCAACTAAATGCCTCCAAATGTAGTTTCATTCAAATAAATCCATACTGTTAGGTCTGTACTGTCAGGAACCTACCTACGCATAAGCAGCCGCATAAGGGCACACGCAAATACAGTGCATTAATAATGGTTTATGTTGTTATTCAAACTTAGTTAGCTGATAAAAGTGAAATTCTTCATAGTTTTGTCAAAGTAGAACGGTATCTTCTAACAGCTTTTAATGCAAACAAGCCACTAATTTCACCCTATATATGTCATAAACCAATTTTAAAGAATTAACATGACTATTTGTTTATAGAAAGCATTCAAATAAAATAAATCAAGTTGCCAAGTCCAGAAAAGTCAGGTCTTATCTGTTAAAATGTTGATGGCACTTTCAAAAATATTTTTCAAAGAGAAAGATACACACACACACACACACACGCACACCAGATTGCATAGAAACGTAAATCCCTGAGATGTCATCTACACAAAGCTACAATGTCTTGCTATTTTGGATGAGATTTGTTCTGTGAGGTGAGCACAATCCCCAGACCAAGATGTGGTCAAGAATATTCAGTACCTAGAGTACAACTCTGCATGTTAAGGGAAGACCCCCAAAGAAAAGAAGTAGTCTTCTTTATGCAGGTTTTAAATAGGGCTCAGATGCTCTTCTTGGATCTCCTAAGGTCTTCTGTCGGTTTTTTAAAGATTTATTTATTTATTTGAGAGAGAGAGAGCAGGGGGAGGGGCAGCAGGAGAAGGAAAGAGAGAATCTTGAGCAGACTCCCTGCTGAGCATGGAGCCGGAGGACACAGGGCTGGATCCCACGACCCTGAGATCATGACCTGAGTCAAAATCAAGAGTTGAACGCTTAACTGACTGAGCCACCTAAGTGCCCAAAAGGTCTTCTTAACTGAAGTCAGAAGTTTAAAGTCTTGCTGTTTTGTGAAAAACCAAGAATTTTGTTTCATCTGAAACACTGGCTCCTAACTTTATAACTTTCATTAAGCCCTGCATGCTACAGAAACAATTTATCCCTTTCTAGTTGTTCCTTGTTAGCAATATTACATAAAGGTGAAGAAGGCTACCTATAGAGACTGGAGATCATAATGCTTCCCTGCTTAAAATTCTGCAATGTCTTCCCTTCTGCGTTTGGAATAAGATAACAAACCTCTTATTGTGGCCAACAAGGTCCTGTGTCATCTGGTCCCTACCTGCTTTTTTGATTTTTTTGCAGACATTTTGCCCTTTTATACTTACGCAGAAATGCTAATTTTCTCTCTGTTCCTATAGCAGGCCAAGCTCTTCTAAACCCATGGCCATTGCTCTTGTGGAGCATCCAATACATCTTTGCATGGCTGACTTGCTCCATTATGTAGGGCTCAGCTCACGTGTCACCTCCCAGGGGCCTTCCCTGACAATCTTGTGTAAAGTAGCCCTCCCCTAACTCTGGTCACTCTCCTTCATAGCATTTATTGCCATCTGAAATTATTTATTGATTTGTTGGCCTGTTATTACTGGGCTCATCCCACTATTAGCCAAACTCCATATAAACAGGCATTTTGCCACATTCACTCGTGCATCTCCAGCCCCGAAAAGGGTGCCTGGCATGTAACAGACATTCAAAAAGCATGTGCTAAGTAAGAAAACTCAAAAGGTTCAAATTTTACCTCTGACAACGACTGGCTGAATAACTTGAAGCAGGTTACTTAACTTCTTTAAGAGCCTCCCAATACTCATCTTTGTAAAACAGAAGAAATAAAAGTGCCTCCCTCCTAACCTATCTCTTAGGGTCCCTGTGGGAATTAAATGAGATACCGGATTTCAAGCTCTTGGGACAGCGCCTGGCAAATAGCAAATTCTCGAGGCAGCCCCACTGATGTCATCATTGTGTTGTTGTCAGTGTTCTATTACTCTGTCCTTGTTCTCCCCAGGTTGTCTTCTGTCCCTAGACCACAGCCTCGACTCTCTCTCTTCTTACCCCTGATCTGGAGCCTGTAATTAAGTCCCAGTGCTGTTGTCATGGAAGGTTTTTCTTTCCCATTAAAGAATTCAAAGTGAGAGGCCATTTGTCATGCTTCGGTGGAACAACTATAATTACCTTGGTCTTAGAGACATGTTTCACAAACCACTAAAGCACACTGTTAGGAGACCTTGGTCAGGAGACAAGGCATAAAATATTTTTAATATGTTGCAATACATCTTTAGCTGCCTCCAGCCCTGCCCCACCCATGTGCACATTTGCCCCAAGTTCACACAATACTTTTCAAAGCTCAACTTTACACTTGGATAGCCTGACACTTTTTTTTTTTTTTTTCAAACAGAGAGTAGGTTTTTTAGGTCATTTAGTTCACCTTCCTCATTTGGCAAATGAGGAAAATGAAACACAGAACCGATCAAGTGGCTTTCTCAAGGTCATAAAATGAGAGCCAGGCCAAAGTGGGATGAGAGCAGGAAGCTCTGTCTTCCAGGTTCCCGACACATCAGTCATCCTTGTCAGGCACCCCACCCCCATTTACATGTATGGAATCAAGAAAAAAATATATTGCAAAGCAGGTTTGTTACTTCGATCTTGTAAAGCTTGAAAGACAAAAGAAAAAAAAGAAAAAAAAAGAGCTGTATGAAAGATTGACATCAACTCAAAGGGGCAGCATTCCATCTCTGTACAGAACCCCATCAAAGAGTTACAGTGTGGGAGGTATAAGGTACCAGAAATACGACACCATAAAGCTTAATGCTTGTGGAAATTGTATTATTTTGTTAAACATCTTAAAGAAATGGGTATGATGCAGAAGGAAGGGAGAGGAAGAGGAAGGGAAGAAGCTCCATGTTGTAAGAAAAAAAACTATCATTGAACCCAGAAGACAGTTATACACTTTTGGAAAAGAACAACGAGGGTCAAAGAGACTTAGAAAATATATTGCTTAAAAATATTGACTAATTGGCATCCAAACTTTAAAAAAGTGTGTAAACTCTTGGACTCAGCGATTCTATCCATGGGAATTCAGCCTAAGGTAGTAAATTTACATGTACAGGTAAATATATGAACAAGGTGTTCATTGCTGCTTTGTGAACAGTGGATCCAACAGCCCAGAAAAAGGAAGTGGTTAAATAAATTATCCTATAATATAGCCATGAAAAGGATGGTGTGGGTCAGAGCTTTGTGGTCAACAGCATGGCCTCTGGAGCTAGACGGTCTAGGTTCAAAACCTAGATCTGTCATTTATCAGCTGTTTGACCTTAGCCAATTTATCTCATTTCTCTGTGCCTCAGTTTTTCTTATCTATAAAATGGGAGTAATAATACTACTCAACATATAACATGTTGTGAGGAGAAGATGGGCTGATATGTATGAAATGCTTAATCTAGTGCCTGGCATGCAGTAAACTCCATGCTTGCTGTTATTATTTCTTTTTAATGACATAGACAAATATTCATGCTACATTAAGTATTAAATCAGGTTATAAAGCAATTTATTAAATATAAACCCATTTTTAGAAAAGATATATATACATAGAAATGATTTTTAAGACTATAAATCCAATTATTAACAGTAGCTATACTTGTTAGTGAAAATATAAGTGATTTCTATTTTTCTCTTCATTTGCTCACCTGCATTTTCTAATTTTCTGATCATATTGCTTGTGTAAATATTTAAATAAATGAGAAATAAATTCATTGGCGTGCTAGGTGGTTTCTCTCTCTCTTTTTTTAAGATTGTATTTTTAGGGGCACCTGGGTGGCTTAGTTGGTTAAGTGTCAGACTCCTGGTTTTGGCTCAGGTCGTGATCTCATGGGTCATGATCTTATGGGTCCAGAGATCAAGCCCCATGTCAGGCTCCCCACTGGGACAGGAGTCTG